GCCCATCACATGGGACTTAAAAGCATTTTAGTCCACGAATTAACCAGTCTCTCAATTAAGCCCATCCCCATGTCCTTAGTCTGAAATACCCTCCATAATATAATTCGTAACCATTCCACCCATTATGCTCTAACTTCCGTAATATTACACATTGACCCCGGATTTAAACCAATATATCACAGGTACCCCCCAAACTTTTTTTTTTTCAGAAAATAATTTTGTTTTCTGAAAAGTTTTTTTCCGGCCAGATTCCGGCGTTGACCGCCGGAGACCGCCGGTCTCCGGCGTTGACCTTTTTTTTTTTTTTTCCTGAATTTTTTTTCCGGCCAGATTCCGGCGTTGACCGCCGGACTCCAGCGTTGACTTTTTTTTTTTTTTTTTTTTTTTTGAATTGTTTTTTCTTAGAAAAAAAATATTTTAATTAATATTACTGTCTTGACTACTAAATTACTGTCTCAGACAGTAATATTACTGTTTGGGACAGTAATATTATGAATATTATTTTTCCGAACAGTAATATTATTAATATTATTGTCTAAGACAGTTAAATTACTGTTGGAGACAGTAATTTAACATCCAAGACAGTAATATTAATTCAAACAAATTTTTTTGTAAGGAAAAAAATTAAAAAAAAAAAAAAAAAGTCAATTAACAGTTAAATTCTGTCTCCGACAGTTAAATAACTGCTGGAGACAGTAATTTAGCAACGAATACAGTAATATTAATTAAAAATATTTTTTTTAAGAATAAAAAAGTCAATTAACAGTTAAATTACTGTCTCCGACAGTTAAATAACTGCTGGAGACAGTAATTTAGCAACGAATACAATAATATTAATTAAAAATATTTTTTTTAAGAATAAAAAAGTCAGTTAACAGTTAAATTACTGTCTCCGACAGTTAAATAACTGCTGGAGACAGTAATTTAGCAACGAATACAGTAATATTAGTTAAAAATATTTTTTTTAAGAATAAAAAAGTCAATTAACAGTTAAATTACTGTCTCCGACAGTTAAATAACTGCTGGAGACAGTAATTTAGCAACGAATACAGTAATATTAATTAAAAATATTTTTTTTAAGAATAAAAAAGTCAATTAACAGTTAAATTACTGTCTCCGACAGTTAAATAGCTGCCGGAGACAGTAATTTAGCAGCCAAGACAGTAAAATTAATTAAAATATTTTTTTTAAGAAAAAACAAAATTATTAAAAAAAAAAAAAAAAAGTCAACGCCGGAGACCCGGCGGTCAACGGCCGTTGACCGGCCGGAAAAAAATTTCAGGAAAACGAAAATTAAAAAAAAAAAAAAAAAAAAAAAAAAGTCAACGTCGCGGTCTCCGGCGGTCAACGCCGGAATCTGGCCGGAAAAAAAATATTTCAGAAAAAAAATTTATTTTCTGAAAAAAAAAAAGTTTTGGGGTTAATGTGATATATTTGTTTAAATCCGGGGTCAATGTGTAATATTTAAGAAGTTAGAGCATAATGGGTGGAATTGATAAGAATTAGGGTTAAAATTGAGGTCAAAATTGAAATTAGGTTTAAAA